ATTTATTTATTTATTTATTTATTTATTTATTTATTTATTTATTTATTCTTTTGTTGGATTTTTAGTTTAAAAATACATCTAAACCAGTTAAGGCTTGGAGATTTTTTTCCCCCCAGGAAATCTGCTCCAAGTCCAAAAAGTTTATGTGGCAGGTCTGTAGGATAAGACTCAAACCTTTCTATTATACATTAATGTTTTAAGAGGGATAAAATATTCCCTTTTACATTTTTCATGTGAACTGGAGAGATTATGTGATGTAATCCTTAAGGCAGCTATTAAATTCTTATCCCTGTGTTCTGTATCTCGGTTAGAGCTCTGTTTCAGAGAGGCACTAACAAGCCTGACAGGTCCCTATTAATGTCATAAACCCATTATAAATAGAATTGTGTTTACCAAAATTGACATTTCAGCAAAAACTTTCTGCTTCTGGCAAAGCTCTCCCAGCAGAGCTGCAGCACTATGAGAAGCAGAAAACAAACCAGACCAAGATAACTTTTCTGTCCGATGGTAGAAAATGGATGTAAAGGCAGAAAATACATAAATTCCATTTTTAATGACAGCATTTTCGAGCTTTTAGTTTTGCTAAAGTACTTACAACTAGGAGTATAGTTAATATTTTATCCTAATAACATCTCTTGAAGATTTATTGGCAACTGTTGGGTCAGAACCAGTTTGTGAGGCCCCAGGAACTGCTGGTGCTTAACCATGTCAATCAGCACGAAGGAACTGACAGGTGGTAAAACTGATCCAAGATTATCTGTGTACAAAATATGTAATTTTATGTTTCCTGTACACCCCACTACTCATTATACAGATGTCAATGCAGCAAAGCATCAACAAGGCTACCTGTGATTGAATGTTGTTATTTTCAGGTGGCAAGAAACAAGATTCATGGCAGGGAAATACAGGATTAAAAATATAAAGGAAGATTCCTGCCTTCCCACTTGAGATGGAAACCTAACCCTTGTCGTGCAGGGAGTCCTCCTATTAAGGATGTGCTATTTTCTTCACAGCCATCTTGAACAGAAAGATTTAAATGCCATAGCAACAGCCTGCAAGTGCAGGAAGCTGCTTGGATCTGCTGAGCTGCTCGGATCCACCTTGGCTATCTCAATGTTCTGGAAGTGCTCATTGGCCTCCAGATGTTTTTACTCACCATCTGCTATGTTTTTTTGGCAAATATTCACATTCTTGTGCTTATGTGAATCACTACCTGCTGCGTATTTATGGACTTCAGGTGCTTCAGGAGGGATTTGTCTCACATCACTTTGCCAGCTTGGTTTGGTCAAAGACAAGTGTTGAAAAGAGGTGGGACACCTTGTCACTGAGGGTTGGCTTCCTCTCCTCAGTGATTATAAGTGACAAGAGTTAGACAAAACACCACTAACTACTGCAACAATTTCTGCTGATCTGGAATTACCAGAGGTACCTGTTTGGCAACCTAAAACCTGCCTGATTTCTATCTCCAGTTTGGTTGTTCAGTGGCCATCCCAGTTTCCTGGTCTTCACTACGTTTTTCTACTTTTTAATATTAATATTTTTAGATCCATTCCTCAGAGCCAGTGATTCCCCCCCCCCCCCCAAATTATTACATAGGTTTTAATTTCAAATCAAAAATACTGTTTATCTTATATGCTATTTATATACAACACTTCAGACAGGTATGTGACTTCAAATAAGTGTAAACTCAAGAGAAGCAGGTACCAGATTTCCTGGCATGCTTAGGAAAGGGAGGTTATCACTGCCTATATTCCAGCCTCAGGAAAATGTTGGTATAATCCTGTTGCTTATTTTGGGCTGGTACACCCAGATGAGTTAGTTCCACCAAGTCCTTATCAAATGACATTTTTCCATTTGCCCTTCTCTCACCTGTGTGCAGGTAGGCAAACAGGGACTCTGCACGGCCTCTCCAGCTCTCACCCACTGAAAAAGAGAAGCAGAGAGACTGGAGTGAGTGGTCTGTGCATTCCTGCAGAGTAACTGGAGGATGTTGCCATCATTTCTACATAATGCAGCCAGAAGTGTTATACTGGGGCATGCATGGCTTGATTTCAGATGTACTGGGACACCCTGGGAAGTGCCACATTTCCACCCTTCTTCACTGAGCCCGAGGGCACATGCTGAATAAGACTGCAAGTACAGGTCCTGTGGGTTCTTGGGTACCTTTTCTGTGATTTCAGGGAGTGGCTAACAGTGGTTTTAAGCCACCTTTGTGCTCACAGTACTCCACAGTCAAGTTAGAAACCTTGTGTCCAGTGTAAATCCCAGAAGCTCAGGTGTTCTGTTTGATATCCTCTCCTGTGCCCTTGGAAGCCAAGAAGTGCTGTGGACTCTGAGTACTGAGCCCAGCTCTGCTGATAAAACCTCACTGACACTCCCCAAACAGCCAGGAACGACTGCTCCAGTGGTTCTTCATGAGAGCAGAGCAGGGTGAAAGGATCTGGTGAGTCAGAACTGAGGACAAAAGCCTAGAGAAAAATGTTTCCTTCAGTCTAATGTAAAACCTGCAGTGACCTGGAGAGGTGAGGAAAATTAAGGCACTTCATGTGAAGTGAGAAATTATCTAGATCTAGGGCACAATGAGGAGAATCCTGCATCAGATTAATAAAAGACTTCCTTTGCCAATGGCTGGCAAGTTTAGCCAGTGTGACAACAGAAAACTACAATCTGTTCATCGAAAAAAAATTACCATTTTTTGGGTATTTATTACTGTCCAAAATCCATGTATTTCTACTTCCCAGGACAACGTATCTGGAAGGTATCTAGCCAAAGCGTTTTTCTTCTAATAAAACTTCTTTCTCTTTCTACATGGTTGTTGTTTATTTTGCTGGAATAGTAAGAGCACGAATAGGTGGAATCAGCTCCCAGGTCCTTGCCTCGTAACTTTTTAGCTCCCATCCTCCCAGTACCAATTTTTTTCTTTAGGATTGGGGTTATTTGAAAGGATCTGTGAATTCCACGGTGACCTGGGTGGCACTGTGATGTACATGACAGGGAATGCCCATTCTGCTCTGATTTGTCACTCACTTGGGCAACGGTGATCAAGACATTTCACCTCTCTAAAACATAATACAACTCATCTTTTTTTGAGATCAACATCTGGAAAGGGCTGCTAAAAAGCAGGCATTAATTACTCTTCCAGCCTAATTTCCACAGCAACCCTAGACAGGTCACTCTCAGAACTGCATAGGAGAAAGGTGATCTGGCAGTCCATCTTCTCCCAGCACCAAGTGGACCCATCTGGGCCTAATTTCCTGGGATTAGGATGTCTAACCAAAGGTTTACTAATCCCCTTTTAATGGCTCTGACAGAGGACAGTTATGGTTTCCTTCAATCTATTTAAGAGCATAAGCTAACTTGTTCATACCCAAGAGGCAACTGGTACATATTTCTGGTCTTACCTTCAGCCCTGGACCTCCTGCCAGGTGGTGGCAGGTATTTCATGGCAGGGCGGTGTTCTGCATCTGTAAAAGGAAGGAGATGTTTTTTTATGGATTGACAGATGGGAAACCTTCACTGTCTGGGGGTAAGGAGTGACAAAGGTAAGTTTATTTAGCAGGGGAAAAGGCAGACATTTGACCTGCTGCAAAAATATTAAAGATCTGTTCTCCAGCACAAAGACCTCTCCATTCCTCCCACAACAATAAAAACTAGAGGAAAAATGTAATGATCCTATAAAAGAGATAGTGCAGGGTGTGGAGGTCATGCCTGAGCTGTGCTCCTTTGTTCCTGACAGTGGCTTCAGTGGGAAAGGCTGGCACTGCCATTACAACCTCCCTCAATAAACTGAGCTCACAGCTCTGCTTCCCTCTTATCCTGCCTTTTCATCTCAAGATGACTTTAATCAAGGGCTGCAGTGCATGAATTCTTACTGGTTTATACACTAATTTGGGATGTCTGATGCCTCCATTTCTGGAGGACTCCTCTTCTTGCTCACCAATCTCACATAGAACTCCCACAGATCACTAACAAATCCAACTTTCTATGAGACTAAGCTAAGGATCTTTTCCCAGACAAATCACATTTTCTTCTTTCTATTCCCCACAGCCAATTTGTTACTCCACACTACACAGGCACAGAGCGTTTGACACAAGTGTCTAAGTTTGTGTTGACAACAAAGGACCTTTCTTCCCCAAGGAAAGCTAAAGGAAGAGCTATAAATTCAAAGCACGAATGCACTTATGGAACTGTGTCACTGCTCTGCAGTTGATACATGGTGTTACCACAATCTTGATTTCTCTCTGCTTCTGACTAATCATAGAATCACAGAATGGTTTGGGTTGGAAAGGACCTTAAAGACCATCTTGTTCCAACCCCCTGCCATGGGCAGGGACACCTTCAGAAGTTGGCAGGCTCAGAGCTGTTTATCTCTGGGCTCGAGGAGTCAGGCAGCCCAAAAATGGAGGTGACATGGCAAAATATTTCACATTAAAAGAAAAGAGCAGGAGCTTGTAGTCTGCTGCTCCAAAACATCCAATACCAATAACCCCACAGTCTGCATAGTGATTTAGTTTTAAGAGGCATGGCTATACATCTCCTGGTACAGGAGCAAGTCTACTGTGCTGAAAGATCGATGCTGGCACGTATCACTGAAGCCTGAGAAGCTTCTGACAATAAATGTCTCCATTCCTCTGCTCATTTTTGTCGAGGATAAAAAGAAATTCTCAAGAAATCTGTTTTCTTCAGCTCCTGCAGATCGGTCACACCTTCATCTCCCTGAGTACAGGGCAAGGCCGAGGCATCAGGCCCCAACAAGTTTGGCACCACAGTCAGTGTCCTCTTTAGGTGGAAAAGGTCTTGGCCCTGTTCTTCAGTTTCTCTGCTATAGAAATGTAAAATGCATGGTGTTATTTACTGGTCCTGCCAACTGCTCTGATATCTATCAGTACTTATGGAGGACCTCAAGATCTTCAGAAAGGGCACCAGGCCAGGCAGAGCCACATTCATTTAATAAGCCAACTAGCAGATGCTCTCAGCTGGCTCCTGCTGATTTCATAGCCTTCATCATAATTCAGCCAAGTACAGAATTTAGCTCCAAACTATTAAGTTTTTCTGTGCCTGAGAAAACCCATAGCATTGGATTCCTTTGTCCAAGTTCACTCAATTCCCAGACACCTTATCCCTGAGGATAACAAATAGTAACAACATGTCTTACCGGTTACAAAATCAGCCTCTGTGAAGAAGAGGATGGCTTGTCTGAATGTCACCTCTGGAGTCAAGGCCATTACTGCCTGTGGGAGACTTCCACTCGTGGTGAGCTTCTCCCTACACTGTGTTAATCCCTCCAAGACACCTGCAAGAGTTTCGTAGGCATCGATCCCCCGGAACGCACACACGAGGACGGGGCTGGACATCAGTGTATCCAGGCTCCTCTGCCACTGAGTATCTCCAGCCTCAAAGGGGGTTATTTCTCTGGCCTGCCATCGAGTGAGGTGGGGCAACCACTTCAGGCCTAGGAGCTCAAATCCTGACCCAGGCTCTTCTGCAAGTCAAGAGAAAAGTGTTCAGCATCAGACAGCAGCAAGTGTTTCATGGGAGCTCTGTTTGCTTTTGGAGACAAATGTTCTGACTTCACAGTGATTTTTTTCACTAGACAAGTTCCAAAGCTGCTTCACCACCACCCACCCAGAATGGACTGTAATGCAGATATAGGAACATACTGGGAAAACCCACAAGATACAAATGCTAGGAAATAACATTACATTGAAAAGAAAGAATGGGCTATCTGGGAAATCAACAGGGAGCCACAGGGAGCAAATACCATGATTTAGATTAGAGAGCACAGCTAATGGAGAAGAGTTGAAAGGGAATCCCCGAGAATACATGTGGCTTGGCACAGCATAATCCATAATTATAGATCCTTTAGCACCTCTCATAACATTCCACTTCAAGCAATGTTCATTATAGTAATAAACTACAACAGAATGCTGACTTGTCTCTAGTTTAAATGTTGTTGTGTTTGTAAAGTAGTCTTACTGCAATGTAGCAAAATATTTAGGGACTCAATCCATGAATGCTGGAAGTTTCTGTCAGCTGGGGTCTCATGCACAGAACTTACTCAGTAGTATTTCAAGTACTATTTCAGCATAGTTTTAGGAGTTGGATGCGACACAGTGTAAGACAGGGGCAGACTTCTGCCCTTCATGCATACACTTCCTGTATTATTACACTTCAGTGCAACCTGCATCATGAAATTATATAAAATCATCATCCTGCCTAGGGCTTTACAGCCCTCTTCATGCATGTGTGAGCATTTAACATGGGGATGGCATTGGTTTTCCTCCTGTGCATGAGGAATTGAAGCGTGAAGCAGTGAAGTGTCTTGGTTCTGCTCACAAAGGATGTCAGAGGACAGAACAGAGGCTGTGACTTCCAAATTCCTGTTGCTGTGCCCCAGTTACAGTTGCCTGATCTTCCAGTACTTAGGGAGAGATGTAATGCTCTGAATTATATAAAAGCTTAATAATTCTAAGCACATCTTTAAGCTAATTTGACAATCTGTGAAGAAAGTTATGGCCACCTGAGCTGTTTGTGATATGAAATGTGGCCTTGCCCATAACAAGTCATAACAAATTCTTCAGCTCTTTAGGCAGGTGAACAAAGAAACCTGTTCTTCTTCCACTCACCACATTTTCCGTGATGTTCCTGCTGTGATAAAAGCAGCTGGCCAGGATAAACTTCCCTGACCAAGTTCCCCAGCCCTCCCCAAGAGCTGGGATCACCTGCACTCCGAGGCTGGTTGTTAAGCTCAGGAAACAGGATCTGGTGAAGGAGCTCTCCAGCACTTTTCATGGCCTCCATTCCAACCACTGTCAGCGTCACAACTTGCTCCATCCCAGGATCAGCAGCGCACGTTCGGTGGCAGAAAAAATCCAGAGGAATGTTGTGGGGCTCTGGAACTGCACTGAGGTTTCCTCCTATCCAGGGAGATGATCAAAATCAAAACTGTTACCCCACAAAAACAAACCTCAGGTCTTTTTTACTGTGAAGGAATTAATCCTCAACCAAGCAAAGGCCAGTGTTTCACTGTCTCCTCATGCTGCAGCTCAGCATGGTCAGGAAAAGGTTCCTGCATGAGGAGTGTTATCACAGCAAACCCCCACTAATTAGTCCCATTCATTCCCTGAAATTACATTTTGCCATGTATATTAAATATATTCACATGTAATTTTGATATCCTTATTCACATCCTTAAGCAGATCTACACCAAAGTGACTGAAGGCATCAATTTTGGATTGATAACTGGTGTTTGACTTCATGTGAAATCAATACTTCATTTTGCTTTCAAGGAGATTACAGGGCACACAACTGAGAGCTAATTTGGGGGCTGCTGCAACACCATGCTTGTATCCACGATCCTGTTGGGAATGGTATAGCCTGTGTTTGATTCCATACTGTTTCACTACCTAATTATTAAAACTATTGTATTGATAAATATTTATTTACTTAGTTATTCCTATACCTTAACATTTCATAATGCTAGAGAATGGTGAATAACATGCATTTGCTGATTATTTTTCCTTATGATTTAGTACTAATTCAGTTTTAGAAAGTAACATATTTCAACTAAAAGTCCTGACATCCAAAAATTGAAATAATTTAATTAAATAAATCTATTAGAACCTGCTTAACATGCAAGAAACCTGTAGTTAGTGAAATAAACATCTGGTTACCAGGACCTTCAAGTGCACAGAACTAGTAAGTTTAAGACTCTCCCACCCATGTGAGTCACAGCTTTAAAGCAGAAAATCCATTTCCTTGCTGTTTCAAATCCTATCAATTTCCCAGCTTTGAATGAATGAGTTACTAAAGTGAATTCAACTGTATAAACTGAAATTAAGAATATCTGAGTAAAATGAAATTGAAAAGTGCCTTTTCTGCACCTACAGAAAAAGTAAAGCATTTATCACTTCAGCACATTCCAGTTTTACACATAACCACTGATTTATCTCATTTTAATATTTTGACTTCTCTTGAAACTATGGCAATAAATATCAATAGACTGGATATTAATCTTTTAACTAAATATATTAATTAAGGCTTAATTGGATGTTATCATGTCACATTTAAATAATTACTTTTTGCATGTCTTTTTAATTAACTTAAAAAGTATTTTCATTTTGCTTTTCTATTGATTCTTCCATTCATTACCTAGCAGCAGAATGCAGCCAAATGAGCATTACCATGATTGATGGACAGCAGAACAGTAAATGAGCTATTATATACAAAAAGCATATTCCTAATGGTTTTATGCAGGAAAATGCCTTAATAATGTTGTAACACCTGGCACATCCCTGGAAGTGTCCAAGGACGGGGCTTGGAGCAACCTGGTCTAGCAGAAGGTGCCCCTGCCCATGGCAGGGGGTGGAACAGGGTGGTCTCCAAGGTCCCTTCCAACCCAAACCATTCTCTGAGTCTGTGATCCATTAAAAGCCAGGACAATGCATTTCCCACAGCTCTGACCTACCCAGGGCCTGCAGCGAGGTCTCGGCGTACGGAGCCACGTGGAAGCAGACAGAGGCATCCAGGCCAATAGTCACAGGGGGGCTGCTCTGCCCACTGCCAAGGCCTGGCTTTGCCAGCTCATCCATCAGCCCTGTGCAGGGAACAGCAGCAAACATGAGGGATCCAGAGCTCTGACATGAAAACCCTCTGCTGTCAAATGTTTGATTCATATGAACACAGTTCCATTACCGAGACGTTAATGTGGGTCATGCTGAGCTTACCCGAGACATGAAATGCAACTGAACCATCTCCTCTCCCTCAAATCACATTAATCACATCAGTGGGGCAAGTAGTTGTTGAAAATTGAGGCTGGGCCACAGCTTTCTCTGGAGACACCTCTGCTTTGGGAGCAGCACCCCAGTTGTTTCTATCACCTTCTAAATCCTGATGTGAACGTGCAACAAATGCACAGACACTGCCACACAGCTGAATTGGAATAAATATCTTAAATAAGTTGGTATCCACTAGGAAGAGTCAAAAATGTGAGCTAAGCTCTCATGTGGAAGCTCTCAAGGTGTCTGACACCCCAAGGCACGAGGCCAACGTCCTGCATCCCACAGGCACCACATGGGGTTTCAGACCTGAACAGAGACATCATGTTCTGCTCGTGTAACTCCCAGCCTGGAAAATATCTGATTCCACACCACTTTCACAGACACTAAGTGCTTAAACCCAGTAATCTCTCAGCTTCATTGCTGCTCCAAAGAGCTGGGCTGCACACAGGCAGTGCATTAAGGGGCTGGCATATGCTACACTTCCACAACAATTAGTTCAACCTTCTGTAATAATATTTCAGACCACAGTTTTAAAGGCTTGTTATTTTTAAAATTACTTTGTACACATTTGATTGCTTTCTACCGTACAAGGCTGTCAAAAATTCACTCTAGTGGAACATGAGAAATGGATTATTGGTGCTGGAGGCTGATGGCAAAGCTCAGGTGTCAGATGTGCCACTGACAATCACCTCTGCTTCTCAAAATTCAGCAGGCATGAGGAACCAAAAATGTGCCATCACTGTCACAGCATTACCTGCTTTTTGTTCAAACTCAGGGCATGGCAAAAAGTAAAGCTTGGACATAAATATATAGTGTTTGATCCTCAAGACAGAGATCCTTACCCAAAACCACCTATTTATCTGCTCTATTTCAGGAATAATTGTTGAGCTTTTCCTTGCTCTGAAAATTAAACAGTGTTCAAGATCTAAAAGGGGTAACTGCTTTTCAGGGGTACTGATTATAAATGCAAAACTTCTTAGTGAGCTATTTATCCTAATCAAATCCTAGTGCTATTCTTCACTTCCCAGAGGCCAAACCAAAGCTTGTGTGGCAAGAGTGTTAGCTTCCCCTCTCCAGGGCTCTGGAACATGGACTAAGGTAACTCTCTGGGTCAGTTCTGAACCACAGGACTGATGCAAAGAGTACAGAACACATGGAAAGAGGCATTTTGCAAAATCTGTCTAGAAACAAAGGAAAAAAACTCTTGAGTTCTCTACAATGAGGGAAAACATTTTACCTTTCCAGACTGTGCTTTGTTCCAGTCCCACCTATAGATTTCCAGTGGAAATTTCCCTGTGCAAAACATCAACACTGTAAACATCCTCTGTGGCACTGAGAAAAGGAGCAGAAACTGTACTTTTTAATAAGCAACTTCCTTTGGGTGTAGAGGCAGCAGGTGACACAGGGCTCTAATTATTCTGCCATGATTAATCCTCTGTGTCTGCACTTGTTTTCAGAACAGTCTGTGATAGTCTCAGGAGAAAAAGCCCAGGACTTTTTGAATTGCCATTTTTTTTGCAAACCTCTCAAATGGACAGATTAAAGGAAGTGACTGGGCTGTGGATGAATGTCCTCCTCATGGGCTATATGTGGTGGTGTTAATGGAGGGGTCAGTCACAGGGACTCCCTACTTGGGAAGAGCCGGGCAGGGCAGGATTTCTGTTCCCTCCTGATCACTCTGATCTTCCCCACTTGAGACCAATGTCAACTCACCCTTAAGAAAACCAAATCATGTTTTTCCTGAGCCGGAGCCTCAGCACTGTTTCATTCAAGTAAGAAGATTTGGGGCAGGAACTTGACTGTTTTTGGCAGTCCCTAAATACAAAATGAGTAACCTTTCAGGTCCTTGGAAGTCATAAGTATGCAGGACTTGGAGCTGGTATTGGTAGGATCAGATGCTGCCCTCAGGCTCAGTGGCACATCTGCATTTTGGCTATCCTACCTCTGTATGCAATAAGAATATCTGAGAGGAGGTTGTTGAGGTCATATAATCATAGAAAGTCCTGAGCTGGAAGGGACCCACAAGAATCATCGAAGTCCAACTCCTGGAAGTCCAGCTCCTGGAAGTCCAACTGCACAGGACAATCCCAAGAATCCCACACCACGTGCCATGTGTGTGAGATGACCAAGTCAGGCCCAGTACGGAGGTGTATGGAGACAAGGCTCACAAATTCAAGCAGGGGAGGCTCAACTTGACATAAAGAAAAAACAGTTCCCATAAGGATGGCCCAGCATTGGAACAAAGCCCCAGAAAGGCAGGGGAGCCTTGCAGATTTTCAAGATCTGACAGGAAAACCCTCTGAGCATCCTGATTGGAATTCACTGCTGATGCTGTACTGAGCAGGAAGTTGGATGAGACCCTCTGAGGTCCTTTCCAAAAGGAGCTACTCAGTGATTCTAAGTACAAGAGGACTCCAGTGCTACAGATTAAACACCTGGCAAAGATCAGCCTGCTCTGTTGAATGGGTAGTCGTGACTGATTCACACCTTGGTCTGGGGAAACGTACAGAAAACTAGCAGGCCTTGATATTCTCCATAACTCTTCCCTGCACTGTGACAGCTGTGGTCAGACTGCTAATGTTTAGCTCACACAGTGAAATGCAAACCTCCTTCCCCCAGGCTGGTGGGCAGGGAAAGCATTACCTTTCACCAGGGCAGGAATGTGATGACTTGCATTCTCCTTCCTCAGCAACAAAACGAGGCAGTGCCCCCGTGGTTCAGCTGGGAGTTTTCCCCTTGCAGGACTATAAGGTGAGCTTGAACTCTTTCCAGGGCAAAATACAGCAATCTGAAATAATGAGGGCAAGTTAGACTGCTAAATCCAGATGTAATTACTATGGCACTCCAGCAAATAGATAAATTGTGATGGCATAACAAGATACAGCTCAACACTGAGGAATAGGAATTTTCAATATCTAGGTGTTCATGCATCACCTATTCATGAGGCAGAGAAACTTAATTTAAACCTCAGGGAAGAGGCTTTACATAAAAACATTCTGCCCTGGAACTGGGCTGGGCCAAAACCACAACAGTGGTAACAGAGCTGAAATGTGGTACCACTTTAAGTCACTCATACAAAAATGATCCTGAGTCCCAAATGAAGGGATGATTTTCAGAAATTTTAGCTCCAAACAGCACATTGGAGCAATAGCTGCTGCTGTTAACTTCTTAATGGCCACTCAGGATCATGCTCCAAACACCTGGTTATTTGGTCTGTGGTATTGCAAAAATAGGTTATATTCATCCTAAAAAATATCATGGCCAGGGACATTATTATTCCTTAGGCTTAAGCAGAAAAGAGGGGATTTGTACAGTTTAATTTGCAAAATGATGTATTTGCTGACTGACATAGCAAACAATGCTCAGCATGATAATTTGAAGTCAGGGATCTGCTCCTTTGTGAGAGAAGGTGCCATAAGATTTCTGTGTGATTTATAATGTACAAAGTGCAGCACTGGACTTCTTGTACACGTTAAGTTTGACTGCAATCTTGCATTTATGATTATTGCTGTTTCCTTAGGCTGACTTGTCAAAATGCCAACTGCATTTTAACTCAAATCTATCGCCATGTTAGAAAGAGGTTCAAAGAAAAAAAAAAAGTTAGTTTTGATAACAGGAAAGCTCTTTTTGCAACGCATTTGGAGTGCATTGAACTAGGGGACTTCCTGCTGAAAGGCCCCGATGGACTGTGAAGTACAGCACCAAATATCAGTCTGTTAGTGAAGATTGTCTCCTGAACACACCTTTGCAGATCAGAGAGTGTTATTTTGGTTCATGGGGCTACTTGCTTTTCTGAGATCAATGGCAAAATTCATATTTGTTTTAGTAGGAGGAGGCCCAATGATGAATTTACACTCCTGTTCCTAGTGAGAGGCCAAGGCCTGGTGGGATTTTTCCTACTAGAGAAAAGGCAGCACTGAAAGCAACCCGAGTGCTGCTCCCAGGAACAGGGAGAACACGAGTGCTGCATAGCTGGGAAAGAGGGAATGGGAGTCCTTGGAGCACTTACTAGAGGAGCATTGGCATAATTAGTTCCAGACCAAGGGGTAACAGGGTATACAACTCGCTGTGTTCTGTCCAGTACCTGCCTTGTTGTCATGCTCAGCACAAGGCCTTGCTGAGGTGAGAGCTGCAGCTGCCTGAGGCCTTGCAGGACAAACCCCCGACGAGCACAGACAGACATCACCCTTCCATAGGCACAAGGAGACACCACAGGCGACACCATCAAAATGATGTCCCCTACAGCAAAGAGAGGGTAAGGAAAGCAGTGTGTTATTGTCACAGAAGCTGTGGTACCAGTGCAAGGCAGCTCTCACAGTGGGTGGTTCCAGCTTGAAGCACATCCCAAATGGTGACACTGTGTTTTACAGTTTATTTGCTATATCCAGCTCATAATGACTGCAAGCCAGGGCCACCCTAGGATGGAAAAGCTTATGGCATCAGTAATTTCTTTATGAATCATACACTCCAGATAGCCTGTCTCATCAGGTCTGGGGGGTATGTGGCTCAGCTCACATGCAGGCAGTGTGTCACCCCTGGGGGGACTGGGGCCTGATAAGCCTGGCCACACGATGAGTAACCAAAGTCAACAAGAACAGCTTGTTCTTGAACAGTTTCTCCACTATGAAGTGCATGAAGCAGCCCTGGTCATTCCTCTCTGCTGTAGCTGGTGGCCCCAGCCTGTAGCTGCTTCTGCAATCCTGCTCAGCACCACCTCCTGCTTCCTCTTGTCCCTGCTTTACTCCTGTCTCTAACCTTCACCCCAGAACCTGCCTTGTGGTACAGTCTCCTGAAGCTTTGGACCAGCCTGTGATCATGATTTCACCTCACTCTTCGGTTTGGAACCATCTGGGGCCTCAGAGGTTCCTTGGTCATCATGGTAGTGGTACCAACCTGCTCTGTCCTACCTGATCCTCATCCACTGGGTCTGGCTGCTTGAGTTCTCCTTGTACCCCTCACCCCAGTAGATAAAGTTCCATTGGGTTAGAACCTTGGGTTTTAGACTCCTGTTTTGTAAGTTGAATCCCAAGCTCTCTGCCAACACATGCTATGGGCAAGACCAGGAAAAAGAGACTACAAGACCTCCTGAGCAGTCCAAGCCCCATCTTAGGCACTACAAGACAAGCTCAACACTTTTCCTTGAAGTTTCTGATCTACCTTTGCTTCATTCTAATCTTATTTTGGCTGTTTTTACCATCACTTTCATTATCACACCTACCTAGCTCTAACACAGCTTTTTATCCCTCACAATGTACATTCACATCTCCATAACCTTCCAAGAGTGACTTCTGAGGACAAAGCCTCAGTGCCACTTCTACATGGGTTTCTTCTACACTGCCCCATTAATTTCTCTTAGCTCTAATCAGGTGATATGAGATTGGAGGATTTCAGTCTCTGTGTCCTAATTACGCTTGTTTTGGGGGGTAGGACAGTGACTATTTCTTTTTATTTTAGATTTTGTGGTATGAATAACCACCCTCCCAAGAATCTGACCAAGGCTCAGACTGGTAGTTCAAAGCAACAGCACCAAAACCTTGTGTTTAGCACTAAGAGAAACCTTGTGTTTGGCACTAAAGATAGGAAAGGCAGGGTGTTTCTTTGCCTAAAATTTCTGTTTGGCTTTACCACTGACTTTAAGCCAGACATTCATTATATGAGAACTGTCAAAATACAGGGTTATGGGTGGTAAAATTTTGGTTCCTTTCTAGTTGACAACAGTTCTAAAAAACATTTCTTGCATATAAAAAACTCAAATCAACAAAAATACCTGCTAGGGTGACTAAAACTTGGATTACTGAGAAGGGGCAGATCTACCTGGTGGGAGATGCAGTACATCTGCTCTGCATGGGTAAATATTCCTGTTTCCAAGAGAAGCTGCTGGAACCCTGAGGGAAGGATTTAGTGAATGTTTCCTTTCCTTAAAACCCCACAGAGTGTCTGCTGCCAGACCAGATTTGCAGCTTCCCTTCCGAGAGCCATGATCCAGCTATCTTAGGAATGAAGCTCAACAGTGACTTCCTGAGCCCAAATATACATGGAACGTGGTGTGGTGTAACTCAGCAGCCCACAGCAACTGTGAATCATTAATGGCCATAAAAGGAAGGGGAGGCAGAAGATGTGACTCATTCCATCAGTAGCCACCAGCTGCCATCAATCCCAATCCCAAATAACAGAGCCAATGGCTGGCTGCCAAAGTACCTGAGTTAACATGCGCTGTTGTATCAAAGAGTATTTCAAAACTGAGACTTGGTTTTTTTGCTTTCTCCCTTCTCCATTTTCCTCCCATCACCCTCTGTCACTTTGTGTTCCTTTCGTCTTTTTGCTTATGCTCTCATCCTTTTCTCATGGATTTTTTTCCTTTGGCAATGTAATTTCCCATGCTTTCTTTCTATGTCACTTCAATCCTGCCTCCCTTCTGCCACCTTCTCCCTGACAGCTGCTGACCTTCTGCTCCCCTCAGGTTCCATTCCTGTGAAACTATCAACTGTGGGAGCAGAAACCAGCCACCAATGCTCTAAACATTGTCCAAAAATCCCTTGCACCCCAGATCTGCTGTGCCAGGCAGAAGTATGTCAGCACATTGGCCTTTACAGCAGGTAACCCAACACCAACAGGATCCTTCTTAGCCACGTAAGGCCTTGGCAGGTGTCCCTTGGACACAGCCTGCTGTTAGTTAGGTACCAATTCAGAAGAGAAGAAAACTCCTACAAAGGAAAAAGGGGTATTTGAGTGGAATCAGCTTAATGCACTGCTCCCCTTTCTGACCTGTGTGGTCAGTCCTGCCCTGAATGAAGCCTTAACCATTTAATTCCCCTGATGATTATATTCAGCTCTTCACCAGGAGAGACAGATGATCTCTGATCAGATAAACAAGCAATTTAAGGATTCTGTTAGGCCTTCACTATTTCTCTGATGAATAGGCCCCTCTGTGCAGAGATTTCCTGTGCACTGGTTTTTTGCTTCTTTTTTCCCCCCCTTCAGTGACATCTAAGCAGCCTGGAGGACTCCACCAGCTGCCTCCAGGAGAAGTTTGATGTGTAACACTTCTCTGCCACTTCATCGTAGAAAAAATGTTCCACTAGAAATTCATGGCTGGCTCTAGAACTGGCCAGGTCACAGCCCTGAGCAATCCAGGGAAGCAGAATTTCCTGAGACAGGTGGGCTGGGGTAAAGTGACATTGTCAGTGAAGAAGAACCACGAAACCTCCAGATGAATCTAACGCTGACCTTTGGTAGTTGAGACAAGCATGGCTGGATGTCGAGGCAGCATCATGCTCTGGAGATCAATCTTTTCTTCATCTGCTTCTGTCCCAGTTGATGAAGGACCCTGAGAGCTACAGAAAAATGATAAATATTAAAAGCTGTTACACCAGATTCTGACTCAAATATACTTTCTGCAACAAATCCAGGGTCACAGAAGCTTCTCTGGTAGAACTGCTTTACTGAAAAAGCCATTTCAATCCCTTGTCCCTGACATGAGCTGCACTGAGGTCTCTCTGACTGAACATTTTTATATTACTCCCCGAGGCTCTCTGTGTTCAATTAAAAGTAGCTAATGCAAAGTAGCCAGCTTGGCAAAGAAATCTGGGAATCAATAAATATGTTAGGCTGCACTACCAGAGCTATTCCCACCCACAGACAAATCATAGTTGCTGTTCACATTGGGTTCTTTAGCCTGAGTTTAAGCAGTTTGGAAGGTTCATGTTAGGCAACAAGCACGATCGAGTCTGGCAGAGATGTGCCAGGGAAACCTCTGCAACTTCTCTGCATATCCAGAAGGCCCAGATCAGGGCAGGGTGAACAGAAGGTGTGGTTTGGAAGCCAGGGACTGTCTGGGAACAGTTTGGCTGGGACTGTGAGCACAGGCTGCTCAGGCAAACCTGCCTCAGCCCTTCCGAGCTGGCTGCAATGTATCTCTGGAACACATCCTGCTCGCTCACTCCCAGGAGCCCATGGCATCTGCAAGGATAATCTCCAAAGGGCCAGCTGAGCTGCAGTTTGTATTCCTGTCTCCCAGTGGACCAAATTACCAGCGTTAGGAGAAAGACAAGTGTATTATTTAGAATGTAGTGCCGCTCCAGACTAAGTTATACCACAGGAGCAGAACTCATCATCTTTGTAAGAGGAAAAATAAACAAACAAACAAAATAAACAGAAATAAAAACCAAATAATAAATAAACTAAATAATAATATATCACATATATATTAATTGGTATAATGATAAATTCATATAATACTGCATATTTATATATTTATAGTAAATTTATAAGATACATAATCTTTAGATGTAAATTGTAAATTTATAAATAGAAATTATATATCTGTTTACACATAAATGTATATACAAAGCTGTAATATTAATTATTAATAATAAATTTATATAATAGTATATATTATTAATATATATAGTACATATGCCAAGTAATAAATCAAAGTAAATTTTAAAATTTTGCCACATTGATTTTTTTCCCCCATCTTAAAAATAAAAATTATGAGAGTGGCTGTTGATGGCCAAGCAGAGCTGAACTCTGACACACAATCCCTCCCCAGCACCAGGTTAGTTCCACGTGGCTGAGCTTTGCCACTCTGCAGAAAGCACTGCCAGCACTGCAGCTGATCTCCCCCCCAGCCTGCTGCCACAGCCACTGTGCCACACTGCCCCCAGGAGCAGCCAGGATCCTGAGAGCCTGTCCAGAACCTGCAGGTGCAGGGACTTGTCTGAGCTTTCTGCAGCAGTTTCACCACAGCATCATTTGTTCAGCAATGCTAAAAGGAAATGCCCACAAGCCAAAAACCCCGGTGCAGAGGCTGCATCCCGTGTGCTTACACAGGCCTGTGGCACAGACGTGACACCAGGGAGAGGAGAGCTGCAGTTTGATTTTATAGAATCATAGAATCCTTAAGGTTAGATAAGATCTCCAAGATCATCAAGCCCAAACTTTAACTGAACACCACTATGCCCACTAATCTGCATTATGAAGGGCCACATCTACTCTCTTTTTGAACACTTTTGGGGCAGTGACTCCACCACTGCCCTGGGCAGCTGTGCCAGGGTTTCACCACCCTTTCAGTGAAGAAATTTTCCTCAATATCCAACCTGAACCTCCCCTGGCATAAATTTGAGGCTGTTTCCTCTCCTCCTGCCCCTTGTTCCCTGGGAGCAGAGCCCGACACCCCCTCGGCTCCCCCCTCCTGTCAGGGAGTTGCAGAGAGTGAGAAGGTCCCCCCTGAGCCTCCTTTTCTCCACGCTGAGCTCCCCAGCTGCTCCTCACAGGACTTGTGTCCCACACCCTTTCCCACCTCCACTGCCCTAACAAGCAGGAAAGGGCCCTCTGAGCACAGCAGAGCCCTGTGTTCACACACAGGATTAAATGTGCTCCCTGGGCCCTCAGGTCTGAGCCTCTGTCTGGGAAGCTGCAAGATTGTCAGGAAGGGAAGAGATTGTTTTGTGCCATAGAAAGTACTCATCTCCATCAAGGAAAAGCTGCAGAGAGATTTGGGAAAGAGAGTGTTGATAAGGAGTGCAAGGGAGTCTGGGTGCAGATGGTGTGCAAGGGCTGCTGAGTGTCACTTCACAGAGCTGCTCAAGCTTTTCTCCCTGTCCTCCCCTTTCCCCCACCCCCCTCTGCTCTGTTGGGTGATGCCAACAGCAGGTATTTTGTCAGTGTTAAAAACTTTCAGATTAAAAACCACTCAGTAAAGCCATTTCTGTCCAGGAGAGCCAAAGTGAGCCTTTGGGAGCTGCAGGCCCCTCCCTGCAGCACTGCACAGCAGCACAGGGATGATCAGGGCTGCATGATGGAATAATGGATGCTTGAAAGCCATTCCCAGACCCATCCAAGCACGACATTCCAGAGTCCTGAACCTCACTTGTGCCTAGCACTCTTTGGAACCCTACAGTTATGCCATCACTTCCTAAATTGCATTCCTTGTGCTGACAGCTAAAGGTTTATAAGCCACCCTTCATTTTCACACACATCTGTCACCATCCTCCAAAGAACCTTTTCCCTCTGAAGCCCCTTATCAGTTGATATGGAGGGACATAGGGCAAAGCTAGAGTAGGTTTCCTAGGAAAAGGGAACTCCTTCTGCAGCACCAAGTCTCCAAATCTTGCTGCAAGTGCATGAATTACTGGCCTCGCTACCAGGGAACAGGGGATGGAAAGCAATCATGTGTCCCACACCTGACACACCTAGGACCTGTGGGAACAGCCTGAAGTTGTGTCAGGAGAGGTTTAGGATGGCTCTCAGAAAGAGGTTCTTCCCCCAGAGGGTGGCTGGGCACTGACCAGGCTCCCCAGGGCAGTGGGCACAGCCCCAAGGCTGCCAGATCTCCAGGAGCATTTGGACAACGCTCTCAGGGACAGGGGGGGATTGTTGGGGTGTCTGTCCAGGAGCAGGAGTTGGACTCAATGATCCTGATGGGTCCCTTCCAACTCAGCATAGTCTTTGATTCTGTGATCTGGTGCAGAAAAGAGGAGGACTTTTGCAGACTGTATAACTGGTTTGGAAACACAAAAGTAGATGGATTCCTTCCACCCTGCACTCCTGTTCCCCAGACCTTTAGCAGAAGGCTGACATGTAAAGAACACACTGCCTGTGGGAACAACACTTCCAGACCATCAGACCATCACCTGGAAGGCAGGTGCAGGATCCCAGCAGCCCTTCCTCCAAACCAGAGGCACAGCTCCCTGTGCATGTGGCTGTCCAGGCAGGGCAGGTACATGAGAGGCTCCTCTTGGCTCTCGCCGTAGATGGCATTGATGGAACCACAGTCTGTCACTCTGGCCAGCCATGGGTCAGATGGCCCCACGATGTCCTGCAAGGTGCCACGTGCTTTAGGCCCTCTCACACACAGTGCCAGCACTGGTGGCACGTTGCCAAGCTCTGAGGTATAGGCAGAAGGCAGCTTTTCTGTGGAAACAAACATATGTGTGAGTAAAACATGGAACAACCAGCCCCAAGGTCATTCATCCCACTCAAGTGCTCTGTCATAGCCAGACCTCAAAAGGGGAACCACCTGCTTACCTGCCCTGTGGCTCATATGCTGGCAGCACATGCACATTTTTACCTAATGCTAAATCTGAGATTAGTCAAGGTGCTCTATTGAAGACAGAGGAGTTGGTGGCCTCATATTTGCTGTGGAAAGGTGTGAGCACAGGGTTAGTGATTACAGAGCAGGTGATACACTGGAAGTGTCCCTGCCCATGGCAGGGGGTTGGAACTAGACAGTCTTCAAGGTCTTTTCCAACCCAAATTCAGCACTTTAGGTTCCTGTGCAGTCTGTTGTTCACAACCACAAACAAGGCTGGGGATTGAAGTAGAGACAGGACAAGAAGCAGGTCCTGTGGAAAGGGATGTTTTTGAAAGGGATCACAAACTAGAAATTTGAAGACTTCTTTTCTACATTATTTCCCTCTGCATCAAAACCAGATTTTGTACAATGCTGTAAGATCAGCTGCATCAACTCTTCCCCATGTCTCTGGCAAACCTTTTCCCATGTCTCCCAGCATAGCTGGGTCCAGGAAGTAATCCCAGAAAAAACAAATTTGGCTTCTCTGCAGTTCTTACTGCAGCTGTTAGAAAAAGCAGCAAGGCTTCCCTTAGGTTTAAAAGTATATTCAAAGACATAATTTCTTGCATAAGAATCAGAAACCAGAACAATAAGTCTCTGGAGCAGGTAGATGATGAAGCAACTGGCTGTAAATACTTAAAATAATAATTTTCAAGTTTTCAAATGGGTAAAAGTCTAATTTACAAACTCACCCAGCAGTTCTCAGCTCAAATGAATTGTCTCTTCATACAAAATGTTCTTAAATAATACTGCCTGGTATAGAGCATTGAAGCAGATCTGCTGCCTGTCAGCTCCTAATGACTGGTGATTTTATGGTTTCCTTATTCATTTCTGGAGTCCTCCTTCATTTCTCCAGCTCTCACTAGGAATGTATTATGTGTACAGCCCCGAGAGAACTGCAATCCCATTCCTAAGGCAGTCTGCTCCTCTTGCTTCCAAATGCAAAAAGGGAGCAGGGAGACTGGAGAATTTTCTCTGATGAAGCTGGTCTTCACTCACCTTCTGCCAGAGGAAAAGCAAACCCATTTCCCTCACTTTCAGCCTGCCTATACCTTTCCCATGGGAAACAGACTGTCTGTATGAGGTGGTGTCACACACAAACCTTCCAGGAGAACTGCCTGGTTTAAAAGAAAGCACAAGCCAGGCTATTTTACAGAGGCAATCTCTAAACTTTGCAGCTAATGCAACACCTGTTGCTCTGGAATTATGTTGCATTAGCAACTAATAATATTCCATAATGCTTTAAGACAGGTTTCATCATCTCTGTTTCTCAAATGGGAAAAAATAAAGACTTGAGTGTAACATGCCAATATGTGACACATTGGTGTCTTTGTGATTTGAGTTCAGAGACCCAGATCATTTTTATCTACCTTATCTTGTTGGTCTCCCATCTCAGATGGGATTCTATCATGGGATTCTATTAAACAATATGACATTTTGTTGATGTTTTATCAGCCAATGCAATTACAGGACAACTAGATCAGTACTTTGCCCATGCTTGTGAAGTCCCAGAGTCAATGAGATGGGGGAATTGTGGAAGAGGAAGGCAGGATTTTCTGCAGCTAAAACCTTCAGCAACATAGCGGGGAACTAAATTATTATATTTAACTCACATGATTCTAACCCTGGAGCTTAGAGCACTGCAGTTTGGGAGAGCTTGCTGCAAAGGAACAACTAAAGTCTGAGACACAAAAATGTATCAAGGGTTAAAAATTCAAATCGTGGATATTCAACACTGGGAACAGAAGGAAAGAAACAGCCCAAGATATTGTATAATTTCTTTTGGGAAAGATATAGGGACTTATAAAGCAAATCTGACACCCTCTGCCTGTGCCCACAGCACCACATCACCCTTCACCTCAGATTTACAGATCTTTGTCTTCCCTTCAGCATCATCACAGGATCTGAAGGAAAAGCAGAGCTCACCTGAGCTGGAGAGCAGCACATCCTGCTGGGGATAGAGCAGGCGGAGGCCACAGACATCCAGGCCAGAGCTGAGCAGCAGCTGCAGCAGGTGATGGGCAGCCAGGGGACTTTGGAGGAGCCTCTCAAACAGCAGCACCATGGCAACCTGAGCAGAAGGAGCACGTTGGAAAAATGAGGCAAACGCTTCCAAGCCTTCAACAACCTCGCAGTTGCATCCCTTCTGCTCACCTTTGGTTCCCAGGGTGGATCTACACTCCAGGAGCTACAAAGAGGCTTGGTTCTGGTTTATGTTTGTGTGCAGTTCACAAGAAGGCTCTTAGCTTTGGACTGAATCACAACTATCAATGATAATTCTAATTTAATCTATTTCTGTTGATATAATTGTGCCTTTTGTCACGTAAACCTACTAGTAAAAAACTGGGGCAGAGACCAAAGCACATCACCTCTGCTGTTTAACTCTGTGTACTACCATTTGCCCATCTTTCTAGATGATTAAATAATAATAGACTAACTGGTTGTTTCTTTATACCTATAAAAGTGACATAATCAACATTAAAAAAAAAGATCAAAAGGCAAACACATGACTGGTACTCTCCCAAATTTACATTTTGAAGTCTTCTCTACCAGACTAATCCAATTCAGCCCATTCTGGCACGTAGGAAGACACACACCAACACGTTCTGAACGTCTATACCCAAAAGGGAAGCAAATTATTATTACTTTCCCATCAGAGAAATGAATTGTTTTAAAAAGCAAGTGCTTTAAAAGAGGGAATGGTGTGGTGCTGTGGATAACAGACTGTTTTGCTGTAGGTCACACAAGCTGATTGCACTGGCCCCAAATCTGGGCACGGTTCTCCTGGATGCAGAGCAGCACGAGGATTTGCCCAGATCAAGGTTTACAGCTGCAGCAAATGCCAAATGAATTCATCAGTACTGGACACTTGAAATTAAATGCTACTCCCCCGTAAAGACATTGTGAGGCTCATACCAGCACACTAAATGGAGATATAAATTTACTCAAATCATATAAAAGTGGGCTAATTAGGAATAAAAGTTCTATTTCTTTATGTTTGTTAAGCTCAAGCTTTCCAGATATCAACCCAGTACTCACAGCAGCCAGGAAGGGAGTATTTTCTGTATCTGCTCAGAGTCCCTGGAGCTTATCTGCCTGGGCTTGGGGCCAGCTGTGATAACGCAGCCATCCAGCATCAGGGAACCTCAGGAAGTGCCCATCTCCCCTCTTTTTGGGGGCCTGGAACTTGGCTTTTCTCTCTGGCAGAGCTTTGTTGAGGTGGGCCTGGCCCAGTCTTGGATGTCACCAATTCTGACCACTGTCCAAACCCATGGATTTCCTGGTTTGGCCTTGTCACTGAGGATTTCCACCTGGATACTGTGTCCAGTTCTGAGGCCAGCAAGGTAAGAAAGATTCTGACCTGCTGGAGCAAGTCCAGAGGAAGCCAGGGAGTTGTTCCAAGGGCTGGAGCCCCTCTGCTCTGGAGCCAGGCTGGGAGAGCTGGGGGGGTTCACCTGGAGAAGAGAAGGCTCCAGGGAGACCTGAGAGCCCCTTCCAGGGCCCAAAGGGGTCCAGGAGAGCTGGAGAGGGACTGGGGACAAGGGATGGAGGGACAGGACAAGGGGGAATGGCTTCCCACTGCCAGAGGGCAGGGTTAGATGGGATATTGGGAAGAAATTCTTCCCTGTGAGGGTGGTGAGGCCCTGGCACAGGTTGACCAGAGAAGCTGTGGTTGCCCCTGGATCCCTGGAAGTGTCCAAGGCCAGGTTGGACGGGGCTTGGAGCAACCTGGGCTAGTGGAAGGTGTCCCTGCCCATGGCAGGGGGTGGAATGAGATGAGCTTGTGACATTCCACCCTTAACAGAAAGGAGGCACTTTTAAGGTGCCTTCCAACCCAAACCATTGTGTGTTTCCATGACTCTTGGCTGGCTCTGGTTACTGCTGCTGGACCTGCTCTGCTCTTCTCATTACAAATTACTTTACACAGGAGTAGGTCCCATACATTTTGATAGGCACTCCTAAACAGATGGAAACATGAGCTAATTTAAGCCACCTTAACCTTCTCTTCTCCTGGAGTAAAACAAGTAGAATTACTTCCTACTTGTTCATACAATACACAGAGTTACTGTAAGTCAGGTAGTACCAGAACCTTCAGAAATTTCCTTGAATTTTTCTGAGCCTGAGTTTAATCAAAGATGTGCTGTATGCTGGCTTACAGTCAAGTGGTTTCAGGTTATCAAAATTTTGTCTACTGTTACTGATTTGCACCTGGTTGGTAGCAATTTCCTCAACCCACAGATTTCAAAGTTTAATCTCCTGTGGCTCAGAGCAATCAGCACATCAATACTGATGACATGAAACACTTGGCTGGTACATTTAGGTCTGAGTGAAAAATACTTCAAGATCAGTATTTATACCAAACCTCAAGACTGAAATATTCCAGGTCACCTAATTGTCTCTCAGTGTTCCACATCATCCCACAAGTCAGGAAGGAGTGGTGTGCTTGCTGTTCTTTACCTCAGTGTCTGTATCTCTGCAGGCCTCCATGGCACTGCTGTCAGGGAAGTATTTGTCACCACTTTCAACTGTCTGCCAGTAAAATCCATTTGGCACCACAAACACCTTCTCTGCTGCCTGAAACACACAAAGGACATCTCTCACTTGCATGTTACCTTGGCCTCTCAAAATTGAAAGGGCTTGGAAAAACAGAGTATTTTATGGCTAGAGACCACCCAAGGATGCACGTGGGTGGGTTAAACTCGTTAGTCCAATGTTGTTAATATATCATTTGCTTTCTTACAACCGTTCCTCTTGCTCCAATTAAGTGATATCCCAAGAATATGAATCTGCAACCGCTTCCCAAGGAGAGCCTGAGCATTCCCAGTGTCCAACCCAGAGACTCCCCAGCACACAGAACACCCACAGGTATCACCAGGAGTTCCATCCATAGCAGACAGATCTGAGCAGAGCCCTCGATTCTCCACGACTGTGCTGAGCACTCAGCAGAAAAGGGCTTTGTGAAAGCAATGCTCCAATTAACTAATCAAATGGAAGGGTAGGGAAGAAATTTCATGAACTTTTACATGCCTGTAACCAAAATAGGACATTTCTCCTGCACTCATGTCACCACAAGTGACACATATCTGTGAGACTTACTGTGTCACATACCCAGGGAGAGGCAAAAAGCTGCCATTTAGGTCGCAGTGCAGCATTTCCCAGCTCAGCACCTTATTTTGTTTCTCATACATTTTTCCGGGCAGCCAAGCAAGCAACTTGTACAAGTGCAAGTGTAAGGATGTGTCACTCATGAGAATGTGCTGTGACTGGATGCTCAGTAAGCAAGGCCACAGTCCAGGGACAAAGAACTTTTGAAAGTCATGTTTGTCAAGTTCTGGCTTGGGAAGAATTGATACTGAAGATTCCAGAAACACAGATGCATTTAGGCAGAGTTCAGAGTGGGCAGGATTCATTCCAAGAGTGAAAAAAAATTGTCACTTTTGAGACACAGGCTCAGGTGAGGCTTCACTTTTAAAGACTCTCCTCTGATTTACAGCAGTCGTTAATTTGTCCTCATCTCATGTGGACTGACCTTTCCAAAAAGCAGAAAAAGAAATTACTTTTCAACATGGTCTCATCAGGACTTTTATTATGGAGAGAAAATGGGCTATCAGTGCATGGAGAAGCATCCATTGTGCATTCTGAGGTACATATAATGCTGATTAATTGTGTAATCACCTGAGAGATTCTGTGTGTGCCGCTTGGCCTACGACAGGCACTTCACAGCATTCTACAAATGTTATAAAAATAACAACCAGAAAATCAAATTAATCGGAATATTAAAACCCCTCTGACAACTGCCTTTCCACTTCAGTAACCTTTTATGGTGTCTCTTTCCTCTATTTCCTGCATTTCATAAGATATTTGCCTAAAAGCAGAACCGGGGATTTCACTTTTCATGCTTTTCAATCAAATCAACTGCCCCAAACTCAGAGCTTTGGCATCTCTCAGTGGCTTTGTCCATTCTGTCCTGCAATTCATCACTCTCCTGCTTCCACTGGTGCAATTACACTTGGTTGCTGTGGAAAAGATCATCAGAGGGAAAGGGCATTCAAGGAGACAGAAGATCACCTCTGTTTCCAATGTAAGATGTCAGCTCCCACGTGCAACACTGGAACAGTATTCCCAACGTACAAAAGAGGAATGCAGCAAGACCCCAGTCTTCTATTTATTCAAGTTATTCCTTAAAAAAACCCTCACATCTCTGAACTTTCAAGAGAGAACTTTCAAGAGAGAGAAGAGACAAATGTGGTCAAACCAACACCAGCCCCTATTTCCATAGAAACCTTCAAGGTAATCATCCAGCCCCAGTCAGGACACACGGGGAAATCCAAGGTAAAATCTGCCCTTCAGGAAGGACCACGGTGTAAGCTGTGGATGAGGGTGATCCCAGGCCAGCCTCCCTCCTTGCCAGAGCAGGGATCTGGCCACACCTGGGAATTCACACCTGTGGGAAATTGTTACTGAGATCAGTCAGATTCTGTTTTCTAACAACCAACCTGAATGTGAGTTCACAAAGCAGCAGAAAATGAAGTTTGAAAAGTCTTAGTTCTCCTAGAAAGTTCTTCTCCTCATGAGTTGGGAACAGACAGATGGCCGTGGTATGAGGGCCCTGCTTTGTCCAGTCTGGCTAAAATGCGCCAGTGGCAAACTCCTGGCATAGCTTTTCTATCCATGAGCAGGAAAACTAGGGAGAAAGTCACTTTCCCTGTGCACGTAGGAGAGAATTGCATCAAGTCAGTCATTATAATACTGAGATGAGCCCTGTTTAACACGTAACACAGAGCAACCTTCCACAGGCAGTTGCAGGACCTTACAGTCACTGAAATAACTGGCAAATTCCACACTATTTATGATACTTTAGTGCTACTTTTAATGTTCCACAAGAGTGTAGGTGTGAGAACTGTATTGGTTTCACCTCAGGGCTCATTCCTCTCACACCTCCAACAACATCACACCAGCTGTAAAACTTCTGTGCCAACACATCATTTGAGGAAGCCTCTCCCAGGCCAGCGGATCCATCACCTCTGAGTGCTGACCTGTCTCCCAGTGGGAGGAGATTCCCCCACAAGAAAAGAGGAGGATAACTACCTGGAAATACCTCTCCTGTGAGGCTCTGCAGACTCAGCACTGTAACAACCTTACATCTCATGGGAAAGGCATTATCCCAGGGAGGAAGGTTCCCTACATCAGCCAGTGGCAGCTGCACAGCCCCAGGGATACTCTGACTTATGACAGGTTTCAAACCCCAGACTCACAGAACCATGACCATTGCCCTGATGTGTCTGCAGGGCTTCTTACAGCACTGAAATCCTCTCCATCCAAACTGCCACAATCAGGAAGAGCAGGAAGGGAAGGCACGTCCATAACATCCCATTTGTATTATTGCTTTTTTTCAATTATCTTTGTTCTTTTTTGAGTGCCAAATTACAATATCTGCTACCATACAACACTGAAAAAGACCAGTTTGGACCCTAACTAACATTGAACATTCACCAGTTTTTCAAAAAGCATTTAGAAGAAACCCTGAGCTACTGCTTTGTTTCAGGCAATATTACCCAGATGAAGCCAGATAGTTATGGGAAGGAAATTCGCAGCAGAACAAAAATGTGTTGTAAAATCCTGAGCAGAAACAAGAATAAGCACATTTCAGAGAAGGCTGGAGCTGCGTGCAGCAAACCCATAAATATTTAACTGTCATCCAGAAATATGACCAAACCCATGATCTCTTCTTTGTGCTTCCAGTGTTTCTGTTCCCATCTCTGACAACAAAGAAATAGCTTTTGCTGTCAGATGATCTAAGAGGCTCTTTAAAGTTGCAATGAGTCTTCCAGGCTGCTTCCCAGCCACAGTGGGAAAACAGAAACTGCAGAAAGAATCCCCATGTACTCCACAATTTCCTCACACACAAGGTCCTTCCCAAGGCAAGGATGTGCTCAGCTGTTATCACTGTGAGGCAACAGCAAACCCCTCCGAGGAAGATGCTGCATCTCCCAGCACCTCCAGAGCCACTGGAAATTCTAGAACTTCTCCCTTCCAGCCCCACTGAGCACATCGGGGTGACAAAGGCAGCTTCTCTCACTCCAGCACAGCTCGTGTCTGATGTGATTCACCAAACCACACCCCTGATTTAGGCAGTATCGCTCTCAAACTCTCTCCTCTCTCCACTGCCACAAATCCCAATCAATTAACATAATATTCCTCGGGGAATCCAGATTAACACAGTGTTCCGTGCACATCTTCCCTCCCACTGTGCACACTCTCTTCAGATGGCTAAGGAATTTAGTATTTACAGCATTTAGCACAAAATCTCCTTGACATAATTCTTCTCCATATTCTGAACCAGTCATTCATCTGAATAATGTATGGGAAATTCCCATGTTTTTTCCTATTTCTGGAAGCTTTCTTCAGCTTGCAATTTGCAGGAGACTGTCCTTGCCTTGTAGGTTCTCATTTGAATGAACTCATGAAAGAGGATATATTTAATTAGTATTAATAATTTTTTTTTATTTGACTAATAAGTGAAAGGATGCTATAGGAAAGAAAAGATCCTATAGGAAATGTGGAGGCACCATAGGAAGATCCCAGGCTGGAATGAAGGCAGCTAATCAAGGAAGACATGACTGTATTTCAGGTAGTTTGCGATGGATCTCACTTCCCATTGTTCCCCTTCTGGACAGGGAAAGGGATATCTTTAAACACAGAAGAGAGAGTGAGACAGTAACTCCCAGCCTTTGTGCCCATCATGCACAGCACTAATGGCAAAGCACATTAGCTCAAGAGCTCTTTAAAGCTGCTCTTTTCTGGAATAATGAGCAGTGAGGCACAATTTAAATGCGAGCTATCAAATTTTAGGAAGAATGAAAAACTGTAACGGTTTATTCCTCCCCAAGCTATGCCTTCATCTTTGTGCCAGCTCTGGTAGACATCACTGTAGTCCTTCTTCTTCTAAAGGTTAGGGGTTTTTTACTTACAAATACCAATGACTGAACTCCTGGCTCCAGGAAAATCAATGACAGACTCCAGCAGGACTCAGCTGGGGCCAGGATGTCACCTTCTCCCTTCTGTCTCCTGAGGGCACAGCCATGCAGCTATTCTGTGCTGCAGCTATAGATGATTTTCTAAAAATGCACAGAGGTGAGGTCCCAGGACAAATGTTTCACCCACAGACAAGTCATATCCACGTGGAATCATCAGTCAGATGATGTGCTCTTACCAAAGCTGTTGATACTTTATCAGGCTGCACAGCAAACTCAGGGTGCCAGATGTGCAAGATCAGACCCTTTGCATCAACTCAGATAAAGTCAAGACATGAGCAAGATTTGGAAAGCAAAGGGCAGGATAAACCTGTCCTTTTGAAACTCTTGCTTTCCACCTTTAGCCTGGATTTCAAACAGCCAAGCTGCTGGACTCCTGTCATGCTGCAGGCCTCATCCTGCTGGTCTGGGTTGGGAAGCAGATGTAGAAGAGCTGTTCTGGATGTTTTATCCCTCCCTAATGCCCAGTTCAGCTGCACAGCAATCAACTCTTTCAAGCCTTGGAGGAGGAGAGCACAGCCCTGATCCAGCGGTAAAACAGAGCTCACAGCAATCTGTGGATCAGGTCTCAGAGCTGGGTAAACTGTGCTGCACTCCAGGAAGCTTGGGCTGGAAAACAAAACATGGCTTGGCCCAGCTTAGGTGCTGTTCAGAGCTGCTCCTCACAGCAGGAAAGGACAAACAGAGAACACATGGGGCAATAACTCCAAATCAAACCAGCATAATTGCCCCTTTCCCCCCCCCAGACACTGAACCACAGCATATCCCAGTTATTACAGTTTGGGATGTGTGAAAGGCAATGTCCCCACAGCCACAGGCTGAAGAGAGTTGGGTGAAAAGCTGGTGTAATAGTAAGTAACAGTTCCCTGAGCGTGACTCCCTTAGCATGGAAGTCAAATGAAGTTACAGTAAAAGACAGTGGAAGATGCTGAAGGCACCAAGGCTGTGCTGCCTGCCAATGAAATAATGTCACAGCACTCAAACTCTAAAGCTCAGAGTGTTCTCATTGAGCTCATGCTGAAACACAGATTCACAGATCTGAAGGATCTTCTGGAATTGCCTCCCACTCCCTCTTCAGAGGCTGCACACAGAGCTCAGGCAACCACATCTCTAAATCAGGTCCTTTAAAGCAACAAGTGTTGCACCCAGGCTCTGCTTTTCCATGGCATCCACGGGGATCTGGATTTCATCAGCAATGTACAGCTCTTCTTGACTTCATGGTTCTTTCAGTATTTTAAATAAAACTTGCAACTTTCAAAGCTTGTGTTTGTGAGGCTCCTCTGCTAACACAGTTAATGTCAACTCCAGCAGGGGAAACCCAAAAGTCTGAAATACCACAGGAAAGAACTGCTCTACTTTCTGCCAGCCTCCTCCCATCCATCAGCCTTCCTGTTTGGTCAGTCTGTGCTGGCTGATGGTTTTAGTAGGACTGAGTGATAGTATCAGCTCCCTGGACCCAGTCCTGGAATTCTTAGCCAGAAAAAAAAAAAATTAATTAAAAAAAAAGGGAGCTTTGCTTAAGTGAAAAGCAAGGAGGGAACTTTGTGTAGACCTGCCCTTAATCATTACTTTTGTCTTAAAAGAGAACACACAACCCTCATGTCAGAGCAGGGAATCTACTAAAGGAGCAGCATGTAGGGAACTGATCACCCAGAGGTGCAACCAAATGGATTTTCTGGAACTAAAAGTAAAAAATCTCATCATTTGAGGAAAAAGGGGGAACCTCCATCCCTAAAAACCTCACTGACTCATAGAGCACTGCCATGCCCTCACTGCTCTGTCCTGGCAGGCACCTGCACAGGTTGGGAGTTCAAGGATATGCTCTGGAAGGAGACCAAAAGATGGTGAGCAAATATCCCAGTGTCTGGAACAACTGAGGGAGAGGAAGAGAATTTCAGTATGGAACAAACAGGCAGAGAAAAAGCAGCATCAACACTACATATATTGCCTGTATCCCTAAGGCTGATGCATCCTAAGGCTTAACAGCAGAAAGTACTTTTATTTTATGCTAATATGAAGGAATCCTCTTTTTGCTGACAAGGGACCTTGCATTAATAACTTCCACAGGGATGCTGTCACTCCTAACCTAACCTGGGGTTTAATGACTGCATTGTTACATCAGCCTGGCACGATTTCTGTCTTTAATTTACCTGGAGCAAAAGGAGGTACTTACTGAATGCTTCTCCACATGGGAGCAGGTTCTTTGGTCTGCTTATTTTGTACACACTGCCTCAAAACAAACTTAAATATATAAAAAACAAAGCATGGATCACTGGCTTTGCACCAAACCTTCAAACCAATGAAGTTAAAAGAATATGATATTGAATTTTCTATGCAGCACTTTTTGGTTGTATTTTAATGACACTTGGGAACATTCTCAGTTGGTACCACTTTGTAAAGCTTCAGGGCACACATCAGTGGTAGCTGCTGCCTGCTGTGAGTGTGGCTCATTGAGCCCTGCTTTGAAAATCAACTTTTCTGCTTAAAGAGCTATAAAAAACGTGGCTGCCCCTGGAAGGGTTTAAGCCCAGGTTGGATGGGGCTTGGAGCAACCTGGGCTAGTGGAAGGTGTCCCTGCCCATGGCAGGGGATGGAACGAGATGAGCTGTGAGGTTCCTTCCAAGCCAGCCCATCCTGTGATTCCATGGTCCCATGAAAAAGCCAAAACACGCAGTGGTCTCAGCCTAACTCAGGCCTGGGAACCTGGGTGGCACAGAGGACTTGAACTTGAGAAGTGAATGTGGTTTTTAAATTGACTTCAGGTTTTCTGTGGCATCAAGGCAAAGATCCGCCCCCAGAAAGTGTCTGCTATCTTGCTGTTCAACTCCTAATGACTTATAATTCCCCTAATAAGGGATTTGCATAAAAGCCCTGACTGTTTTAAAGGATGCCTTGGTTTATGCCTTAAAAGCTACTGCAGATTTATCTTTTACGAGTCTGTCAGGCTGCTTTATGGCACTTGCTTCTGCTTGAAAGCCACAGTGACTGCAAATCAACAACACTAAGCCTCCTTTTCCTCCACAGAAAGTGGGATAAACCTTTAGGCAAATTGCTAAGTGCACTGCTAAGCCCCTAAGCTTTGCACTGATTCTCACAGAGTCACAGTAATCCTCAGATCTGGTTGAAACTGCAGAAAGGTTCTCCTGCCACGTTATTTTCAAAACTAAAAACTTCACTGTGTAACTAGAATTGCAGGTTTTGCCATTCCCTGGAATTGTGTCTCAAGAGTTTTGTCGATTTAGAAATATTGGGAAAAGACCACGACTGTGGTGAAGTCATGGGAGAGAAACAAGTAGAACATTCCCTCAAAAGATATAGAAATCAGGCTATATTAAGTTGGCTTTGAAAACCCACTCTAAATATTTACACTAAGGTAGGAAAGTTTGTAAAGACCTAAAAGTAAGCTTGGATGCCCTTAAGGAATAAAATCCCCCCCTAAGTATAACGAATTCTTGTAACGTTTCATACACTTGAATATTTGTTACAGAGCACTTGCTAAACTGAAAGAGGTGAAAAGTTAATTATTATTCTACTTATATACAGCAGAGAGTATTCTTGCAGACAACTCCAGGCAGGCAAGAGATTGGAAGCACTTGATTTTGAGATGTGCTCCATCCTTGTAACTCACACACTTCCCTGGAAATCTACAGATACTAAAATCACAGAATCATAAAATATTCTGCTATTAGAAGCATTTGTTTTCAAAGTCTGTTTAAATACTTTGCTAAAGTAAACAAGAATATCTGTTAACACTGAAAGAACAAGTTTTACTGGACCTGAGAAAACAATTACCAGAATTCCAAGCTTTTCTGTTCAGTACCTGAGGGTCGGGATTAACAGCAACAACGTTACTGAGCAGGACAGAGGGAATATCATGAAGAAGTGGACACAGCTGGTTTTGGAAGCAACTGGCCAGTTCTGCCCTCCACCAAATAACATCTGGAAGCCATGTAGAGGCAAGAAATGCAGAAATCTTCTGGTAAAATACAGATGGTCCTCGTAGATCTTCTGTGTTCTGCAAAGAGTCAATGGTTAAAAATCAATTGGTGGTCGCCTTAGGAGGTTTCTCTCTGTACCTTGCACCTGGAACAGTTCCTTCTTTGTCTGCAGCCATCCCAGACTCCAGTTCCACACAGCTGCACTTCAGATCCTGCAAAGCATATCCCTAACATAACACCCCACAGCCTCCCAAACCATCACACCCTGCTCATGACATCCATCAGCTCACAAATACTACTCCAGGGCAGATTACACCACACTGAGAGAGGGAGAAAATGCCATAAACAGGACCTTAAAACAGCCCAGTACAATGAAACATTTATTTTCTAAGGGTTTCATAGGGATATGAATGAATATATTAACATGCCATCCCTGGAAGTGTCCAAGACCAGGTTGGATGGGGTTTGGAGCAACCTGGTCAAGTGGAAGATGTCCCTGCCCATGGCAGGGGGGTGGAACAAGACGAGCTTTAAGGTCTCTTCCAATCCAAACCATTCTATGATTTTTTTTAAGACTGAGACTGACATTAATAGCTTGACATTGAATACCTCACTGCTAAATTACAGTTTTCCATGATTTAACCTCCCCTCTATGCCTCATTGTTCTTCAGGTTGGTTCTTAATTAGCAGAACTTTCAGAGAACAAAACTGATGACCTCAATGAGACCTAATTAGAAATTAACAGACAACAATTATGCAAAGCATCTTCTTTCCACCAGTTATTGAAAGGAAGTGACAGTCCCATCCTTCTCTGAGCTGGGGCAACCTCACCTCGAGTGCTGGGGGCCACAATATCAGAAGGATCTAAAGCTATGAGGGAGTGTCCAAAGGAGGGACACGAGGATAGGGAAGGGTCTGAGGAGTGGCTGAGGGCACTTGTTCTGCTCAGCTGGAGGAGACTGAGGGGAGAGCCCATCAAGGTCTGCAGCTTCCTCACGAGGGGCAGTGGAGGGACAGCTCCGATCGCTGCTCCCTGTGACCAGGGACAGGACCTGGAGTTGTGTCAGGGCAGGGTTAGGTTGGACATTAGGAAAAGGTTCTTTCCCCAGAGGGTGATTGGGCACTGAACAGGCTCCCCAGGGCAGTGGGCACAGCACCAAGGCTGCCAGAGCTCAAGGAGCATTTGGACTGCATTCTCAGGCACATGGTGTGACTCTTGGGGATGGTCCTGTGCAGGGCCAGGAGTTGGACTCATGGTCCTTGTGGGTCCCTTCCAGCTCAGAATATTTTATGAGTCTATGATTATTGCACACAGAAAGTGGAGCTCAAGGAAGAAAGGTCTGCAGAAAAGCCCCAAAACTAACGACTGTGAGCTGTTCTGAGCCACCAGAGGATGAAGTGAGGAAGTGCACAGACAGGAGCCACAGAGCTCTGCACAGTGCCAGCGTGCCTAATTGGGAATGCCTGGAAGATTCTTAGAAAGCATAGGCTTTACAAATCTAATTCCCATCAGACATGCTTGGAATTGCAGCTTGTCTATCAGCAAGCAGGGATTACAAGAGGTCTGTATTTAAGCATTTGTTCTGATAATAAGAAACCATGCAGGGATGTTCAAATCTGCCTCATTTTTATTAGCTGTTTGGGGAAGGACAGAATAAAAATACCCCAAACTAAAACCCAAAAAATCAACAAAAATGGGAGGAAACAGAACTACTGGATATAGGAATAGATGCCATCCTAGTTGAACAAGCCAAAAGGCTTATTGATCTGCTGAGAACAGGAGCTTTTGCCTGGAGAGACCATTATTATACTTCTTTTTATAACTATGGATGGGGAAATAAAATGTGATAAATAATAGAAGATATTATTTACAGATGACAGTAAATAAGAAGTTGATGGCTCAGAGCTCCCTTTTGGGGGTTGAAAATGGACTCTGGCCTCTCCACATTAAGAACATTCAAATATCAATTTGTCATAATATTAAACATTTACATATACTAGGTATGTCTCTTTTGCATACATTCCTATAGCAAACAGATGCAACAAAAGCACCTGGAAAGCCAGTCATAGTTTGAAGGTAAGCCCTCATAAGTGGTTCTCTTTGTGCCCATAGGAGACAACTGGAACAAGAGCCAGTAAGTGCCCCAACAGAAATTTGTTACTGAACCATTAAAACCCTCCACATAAACAGTACAATGAGAGACTGAGGACTTAAGTGTAAGGAACAAAATCCACCCCATTTCTCTCCAACTGTAGCTCAAGCTGCCCAAGGGAAGGAATAGGAAGACAGGACCACTTGCTGTTATTTTTCTTGTCTCTGCTGTGGCTGACATTTGGACTTGTGTTGTTCCTACCAGCTTAGATCTCTGCTGGGGAAAGTAACAGCTTTACAAATGCCTCAGGAAAGCAAAATTAACAAGAGTCAGTGGAACCACAAAGGTAGAGCCTCTAACAAGAGGAAACTGAGTTACACCCACAGTCCTGCTTGGAGGAACTGTCCCAATACCTGCGGGTCACAGCTGAGGTGACCACTGACAGGACCCAAGGGAATGGCCTGAAGTTGTGTCAGGGGAGGTTTAGCCTGGATGTTAGAAAGAGGTTCTTCCCCCAAAGAGAGGTTGGGTTGGTGGTTGACCAGGGCTGACAGAGCTCAAGGAACATTTGGATGATACTCTCAGGTACACGTGTGACTCTTGGGGATGGTCCTGTGCAGGGCCAAGGGTTGGACTCGATGATCCTTGTGGGTCCCTTCCAACTCACACATTCTGTGATGCTGTGAGTTTTTTATGATGAGGGTGGTGGTGCCCTGGCACAGGTTGCCCAGAGAAGCTGTGGCTGCCCCATCCCTGGAAGTGTCCAAGGCCAAGTTGGACAGGGCTTGGAGCAACCTGGGCTAGTGAAAGGTGTCCCTGCCCATGGCAGGGGTTTGGACTCAATGGCCTTGAAAAGACCCCTTCCAACCTAAACTATACCACAATTCCATGACATGGACTGGAGGAACTGTACAGCTTGTTCCACTAACTTTTGATTCAACCCTCCCCAGCTCCAACCAAACGCTCAGAGCAGCCTGAGCCCAAAAGTTCATTCAATTGTATATCACTGCTCATATTTTGAACATACACAGTGCTCAATAATTTTGCTGCTTTGCCCAAACCCTCACCTGAAACCAGCAGGGAGCAACTAGGCAGGAGGCAGGTCAGTCTCTGTTCCTCCATTTGCTTTGCTCCATAGAGAAAACATCTTGAATTCAGTTGCCTGAGACTGAAATCAGCATTAAACCTTTGTCCAGTCCAGCAGACTGTCTGCTTTCATCAGCCCCTGCCCATGGGCACTTCTATCCAAACACTAATGCTTATTGTTTTGGGGTATTTTTGGCAGTTGTTTTATTCATGACATTTTGGTGCCAGCATCAATCATTTACTTGCAGAAGTACTGGAGCCACAGCTGTCAAACTCCGGGCTTTATGATACATCATGGGAAATTCAACCTTTGCTGCTCACAGGCAGGCAGCTGCAAGGGAAGAACTCTTGCTGCAGCTGAGTATGGGAAGTTAATTGAGTTCTTAAAACTTGTTTACATCTTCTATTCCATTTAAACTTCACACGATGTGTCCAGCAGGTATAATCCAGATATCTGGGGTATATCTGTTAATGTGACTGGGGTGAAACAGGCAAAAATAGAGCAGAAATTCCACTATTGGCTCACTAAAGCCACAAGTATTGCTTTGAGCCCCCTGAGAGGAACTCAGCAGCCTCAGCAGAGCACAAGGCAGCACCTCAAAGGATACTCAGTGATAGGATAGTTGTTCAAGCAAGTGGTTCTCAGGAGATCTGGGGTACACACAGATTGTTGCTCCCCAGATATACCTAGGTACACTTTCCAGTAAGAGTCAGCTACACTGCATAGGTAGGACAGGTATTTATACCAGGCAAGAGTAGCAATAACACCTAAAAAACTGTCTCCAAAAAACAAATAGGAACAAGATGCTCAGAATTCCAACTTGTATTGTATCAGCTCCATGAAAAGACAGAACCAACAAACCATAGCCCACAGCTGCTATTCCATAGCTCTGCTGTGCTCAGGACACAGATTCTTATCATGCCCTATATTGCAGGTGCCACCTGCATGTGCTTGTGTGCAAGACCATCCAGCTTGGTGTTTTATTGCACAGTACAGGCCCTGTGTCTTCCAGACTTGAGGGAACAGAGTCTCAGGTCGTGATTCCAGGCCCTGATTCCTGGGAGCCAAACAGCAAGATAGTATTCCCTCTCCTATGCCACACTCTTCACATGGTTAAAGTACAAGAGGAAAAACCATTATATGTCCCAAAGATGTGTCTCCTCTGAAACCAGTTAAATTTCTGCAGTGTGAGGTTACAGCTAATGAGCAATAGAGAAAAAATTATGCCATAGAGAGCTGGTTTCTTGTCTGCACGAAAACTAAATTCAGCAGCACTGAGGACAGCTTGGGTTGGCAATTAGCTGTAAGCAATCTTTCAGTTCCCACAGTACTGGGCTGGTCCCCCACTCCAATTTAGAGCAGCACTTATGCTGCTCTCTCCTGCCTTGCTGAAATTTGAGCTCAAATTGGCATATGCAGGGCTGGTGCTTAGTCAAGAACACTGGTACCTGCCTGTTGCTGTCATGCACAACCAGCAGGTGTAAATGCTGCTACTCACTTGTGTCTCGTGGGTCTTGGGGCAGCTCTGGGCTGAAGACTCATCTGCTGGGATCAGACCAGCACAGAGGGCCAAGCCTTCCTCCCTCCAGGCCTGCTGCAGCCCCACCACCTCAAACGGAGCTTTGGGGCCATTACTCCTTTTCAATGGAGGCACCTGTAAATCCATTGGAACAGAATTTTACTTTTAGATGGACTGAAAAAAAAACCCCTTTATCTTTTTCTGTTGCCTTTGAGTAGAGCCCCCCAACAAACAACAATCCAGGGAGCACTCTAGCTTGATTAGTAGATTGATTTTTCTACTGGCTAAACCATAGCTAAAGACCAAATTAAATAACACGTGCGTTTTTCACTATGTGACAGCAAAAATGCACATTATTTCCCTAGTCCAGCAAGGAGTGAGAACAGAGTTCCTGTCCATGCTGCTTAGAACATTCCTGTCAGAGCAGCACCATGTGTGCCTTTATCAATGATAAGGAGATCAGTCCCAGTTCAAAAATCAATGCTAAGTGATGATCTAATTCCAAGTAGCTAATGGAGGCTTCCCTAATAAGCCTTTCTTTTCCCCATTGGTGATCACTAATAGCCCAAACCCCATCAATCCCCATCCACTGAATCCCCTTTCAGTTTGACTGAGCGGAGTTCTTTTTGATGGATTTCTTTTGTGCACACGTGTGTGGGAGGCAAACATCTTATTTTCCACTATACACATCTGATTTAAGCAAAACAGGCTAAGAACTGACTTCTGCCAATCCCAAGATGAACCCTGGACATAACTGATTATTGTAAATACCACAGAGAGAGGGTTCTAGTAGGAAAGACCACTCCTTGGCTCTTAAGGCTGCTTGAAGCCAGAAGAAACATGACACACTTCAACATGCAGAATACATGAAAAACTTTGTTATAGGTTAGAAAAAAAGACAGGAGCGACACCTGAAACAGAGTATGGAGGCACTGGAGCACCTGCAAAACAGGTGAAAGAGGGCAGAAAGCCATGGGAAAGCCAGGCACAGGGAATCAGCAAAGTCAGGAGAAGGGAAGTGCAGCCCTGTGAGGCAGAGATGCCTGAACCAGAACACACTCTGGATGAAGAGACAGGCAAGTCTGAGCTACAGGATTGGAATTCCTTCTCAGAGTTCTGGTGGATAAGTGTTGTTCTCACACTTTATACCACCACCACAGTCTGTAGATGGATTATCAGCTCTGCTATTTACTACACACATAAGCCCAAACTATTTACAGTGAGATAAAGGCCTTCAGAAATATGTTCTCGACACAGTACCTGAGTGGATTTTCCAGGTCAGCTGGATCATTTACAATACCAGTACCCAGCTCTTGAGTGCTCTGAGCACTGGTTTCACATGGGAAATTCTGCAGCAGCTCTGCCACTGGGGAATGTTTTCACCTGGAGGATGCTCTCAACTGGCACCAACCAGCACATCTCCAATGAAATCAATAAAGATATGCTGATTTACACAAACCAGGGAATCAGTGGAATTACATAGATTACCAGATAAGAATTTGGTCTAAAAAAGCCCCAACATTTTCAATTCTTTCAATGGAAGAATTGCAGAATTTTCCATTACTATGCAACAGCTGTTTGAGAATCTGTGTGCAATAAATTGATGGATTTTACCTCCATTTGTCTTCAGCACAAAGTCCATCTCAACATGTGACCCTACACTCAGCAGAGTGACACTAAGCCCTGGAAGCTGAGATATCCTTTGAGGCTTGGAGAGAGCTACTACACATCAGAGTTCTGGGTTTTTTAATGGGAATAACACAGGGGAAGCAAGCTCACACTGCTGCTGGTCATGAGCTAACCAGTCTCTGAATAGAAGATCCAGGCTCTGGGGCTGTTCCAGTGGTGATTTTCATTAGCACTGAACTAACACTAAAGAATGTTAGCAATGTTTTAATGGAAGCATGAACATCATTAACAATTAATTCTGTTTAAGTGGAGTTTAAGTGATTTAAAAGCCTGGTGCAGGCTGGCTGCTCAGGTGAAATCCACCTTGACTGCATGGATCAGTATTGGTATTCCAGGGAAAAGAACAAGGCCAGAATGCAGGGTGGGGAGGGAAAACACACATTGCCTGTTTTTCTAGGGGTTGGATGAGGAAGGAGAAAGGAAGAGGTGGCTTTTTAGAGGAGAAAACCACATGAACCAAAGGACAATTAAGATGAAGTAGCCCCCCACTTGTTTACAGCCCTCTCGACTAACAGAAAGGATCTATTCTTATCTAGAATAAGTGGTTAGAAACAGGCATCTGTATCCATCAGCTTCTTTTGCCAAAGACAAAAGTCAAACACTTCCAGCAGCCACTTTTAACAATTGTGAGTCTGGCCCAACAATTTTTTACTTCTTCATGAACTACAGACACAATCCAACTCCCACTGACTTCAGAGAGACTTTTATTTACTGACTCTAAGGTGAATTAGAACATAATTTCCCCATTGTTCAGCCACTGTTTTGTAGCTGTTGTAAAGAGAGGAGATTTCAAGAATGATTATATATGCACTGGAGGTCAAAACACAGCCTTCATCACTCAGAACCTTTTGTGCCCTGGCACTGCATGTACTCACCAGAGAGAGCAGCCACGTCACGAGGGCCTGGTAGATGTTGGCTGCTCCCAGCACCTTGTCAGGCACCTGCCCATCACACTGATCTGTGGCCACTTGGCCACAGCTTGTCAGCCTAATGGTCAGCAGCAGCACCTCATTCTTCACACTCTGTGGGCCAGGCAATGTGTCAACAGCTGGCAAATAAGAGGCTTCCTGTCAAAAAAAAAAAAAAAGTACTAAAATGGAAGTAATTTGGATTACTGGAACTGTTTCATCATCGAGAATTAATTACATTTGCTGCCATCACAGGAGAGGCAATTAATACCCAAAGAGCATTTATCAAAGAGCCATAAAAGCCAGGTCATTCTATCAGTGACACCTCCTTGAGCACTTTGGTTTTTCTTGGACAGCTGTCACCTGGCTCTTCATTCAGTAACACACTGCTTGGTGAATGGAAGGTTCTGTGGTCACAGCTGGAAAAGTATGATTGAACTTATCCTGTATTCTTTAAGATTCAGTGTTTTGGCTTTTCTTTCTTTTTTTTTTTTTTTAATCCCTGTAAAGCCTTCAAACAAGCCTGATAGTGTGAAAACTTGTGATTTTCTACTTCACCTACCATTGCTCATTTCATAGATGATGTCCCATTTAAGTGAACTCACCTTCTTTCTTCACTTTAGTATTGATGCTTGGTTATTTAGGATGCAAATTCCCACTCCTCTAAGAGATCTGTTCAAGAACCAACTTCAAGCTTGAATTGTAGACTTACAGCTTTTTGTCCTTCCAAAGATGCAGCAGCTACAGCTTGTTCTTCCTATCTGTGTTCAATTTGTTGCCCCGACATTTCTTTGATAAATTAAGAAGCTAGTCTTTAAAATCACAAAGATTCTCCAGTCCACTGAAGAGCACTGCTCCTCAACATTTATGATTATAAAATCGTGGAATGGTTTGGGTTGGAAGGGTCCTTAAAGCTCCTCTCATTCCACCTCCTGCCATGGGCAAGGACAACTTCTCCTAGACCAGGTTGCTCCAGGCTCCATCCAGCCTGGTCTCATGTTTTCAGTTGCTTCCTGTAGCCCATAATGAGGATGTCTGCCCACTCCTTTACACTGAATTAACCTTAATTTGATTTACCTGAATTTACTTTGAAAGCAAAGTAAGCTAAATCCAATTAAAGCCACTTTAATTCTGAATTAAAACGTCCACAAAGGTGTGTAATGACTAATCCACTTCATAAGTTAATGGGGCTTGACTTGTGTGTTGGTCCTCAAATCAGACAGCTGCTTAAAATAGTTCAAACCCCGAAAAACTAATAAAAATCCCCAAGCAGATCTACTGTGTCACCCAGTGTTTTGCTGCCAAAACATCTGCCGCAGGCCCAGCACTGCCTACAAGTACCAAATAAAAACTGCAATTAGTAGTAAAGGAAAAACAGTCACACCAAAGTGTCTGATGCTGCAGAATAACATTACTAATTCCTGGGGAGCCAGCAGAAATCCTCTGGGCTTTCATCCTACTTCATCTGAGGAAGAGGAACCTGGAGATTATCAGGAAAAAATGACTTTCTCTACTCTGTATTGGAGAATTGATTCTTTTTTCATCTCTCAAGGGTGTAGGGATAAATAAGAGGAGGTAACTCAAGAGCTAGTGATAAAAACACTATCTACTACTAATTTTCCAGCAGGAAATTTCCAACTATTCCAAATTTGCTTGGCTCAGCAGCAAGGGAGGGCTCAATAGGTTTTCTGACAAAGATCAGGTAAGAAATTTAGTTATTGAGGTTCCTTCTGAGTGAGGTATTGAGCAAGGTTGGCCCTTCCCTCCCCTCCCTCTGCCAGTCTCCTCACCACAACAAGAATCTAGGTGTAGAACTTAACCAATACCAGAAATATTAAGTCTAATGAACAAAAAAAAGGAACTAATCCTGTTTAATTCTGGGCACGAATTGCTGAAGTAAGATTCAGTGCCTTCTGGGTATATCTTCCCACAGCACTGCCCAATTTACCCAGTTCACCTATGGAGAGAGTTTCATTTGCCTACTTGTTCCACTGGCTTTTATTTGTGACAGTATTAAGTTATAAAAAAATTAAAATTACTCAAATGCTGGGATATTTTTGTTTCTCTGGCTGGAATTGTGCTGTCAATCAGAGACAGGCAGCTGACTGTAGTGAAGGGCCAACAATTACCAGAGAGTAAATAAGATAAAATTTCCTTTTTCCACACACTTGCTATTTTATTTTGCAATTATAGTTTATGGTGTTAGAACTTGCAGCTCTTCAGCTCAGTTTTCCAACCACTCTCAGCTCTGGCCTTTTTTTTTTTCCACTCTGATACAACAGTGCAAGTAGGAGCAGTAACTACACCAAGCAGGGGAGGAGGAACCTCTTCAAATCCACATGGAAATTAAATGAGGAAAAAGGAATTGCAAGATAACTTAAGGATAACCACACACTTCAGCCTTCAGCTAAAGTGGCATTGAACTTACACACAGAGAGGCACAATGGCCTCAGGCTGAAGGAGGTCAGGCTGAGATTAAGTATTAGGAAGAAACTGAGGCTGATGAGGCCCTGGGATGGATTTCTCTGGGAAGCTGTGGCTGCCCCATCCCTGGAAGTGTCCAAGGCCAGGCTGGACAAGGCTTGGAGCAACCTGGGCTAGAGGAAGGTGTCCCTGCCCATGGCAGGGGGTAGAATGAGATGAGCTTTAAGGTCCCTTCCAACCCAAACCAGTCTGCAATAATCCCAAAGGAAACTACTATTCAGAAAAACCCAAAACATGAAGACTCCTGTAGAGACAATAATTCTATTTTTTTTAAAGTGGCATTTTATCTCCATATTATTATTATTTTTAAAACAAAACCCAGATATCTACAACCACAGCAAGCCAAAACTTAGTGGACACAAGTTTTCCAGCCAGAAAAACACCATTTTGTTTCTAATAAAATAGCTCAAATTAGTTAAATGATGCCTTTGTTGATTTTTTTTTTTTTAAAAGAGTAGTGGGCATTGCCTTTGGACAGAGAGCTGCTAAGATGTGGAAATACTATCAAAGCTATGAGAGGCTGGAATGACCAAGGAGCAGCTCAGGAGCCAGGGGAGCTTGGTGACAACTTCACAAAGATTTCCCACATGAACCAACTCACCCAGTCTGAGGGCTTGCCCCAGTGGCAGGAGCGGTCAAGAAGAAGCCATTTTTTTTTTATTTTAACAGGTATAGTCTCTCCTTTTCAGGTAAAGAAAACTTGCATATTCCCCTTCCAGCTCCTTTTTCAACACTAATTGATGCTAACACAGAAACAAGGCATCACATCCCATAAAATACACTCCCTGCTACACTGAGCAGAGTCTGCAGCAGAAAGACCTACATCCAAACATCTACCACATGGAAAATGAAGATAAGTTATACTCACACAGTCTCCTCCTCCTTCATCAGAGGGGGGTGAGTGAGGGGGAAGGGGAGGAATAGGAAGACTCTTACTCTCATTGGCTGGAGACTTAATCAAAATAATTGTTTTCAGCCATCTCTAAATTTATCCTTCTGTGTCATCTGCACCCTTGCCTGGATCCCAGATTTAAGAGGCAATCCTTGATGAATGGCAAATCACTGCCTGCAGGATCTTTTGCCAAAGGATGCATCTGCTGGAGGTTTGTAAATGTGAGCTGATTTCTAAGCACTGTAGCAGCTCGAGCTAATTTCTCTAATGAACATTCCACACTCATTCTCCAGCTGCAGCAGCTTTGGCATTGCACGTTCCTGCTTTGTTATGGGCAGAGCTGGTGGTACAAGACACAACCATGTTGATTCTGTTCTTATATACCTATTTTTCCTGCAGGCTTTTTAGGACACATTTAACAATTCTGGCCACCTAAGGCAAAGCAGATATCGCTCTTCCATGGCTTCTAAAAATTCTTGCATTAGATGAAGACATATTGGAAATGTCAAGTGTTTGTTCATTTTCATTCTGTGGGGAAGGAGAAATGATGACAATGCCATCTGTTAGATTATTTGAAATTCCACATTAAAGCATGGAATAAACCCTGAAACCAATCAAAGAACTGCTTTATCATTGCAAAGTGGAAGCAATGGGTAAGAACAGCAGAGTATCTGCATTTCCTGCATGCAACTGGCAGAACACACTAATTAGGAAGGTAACTTTTAACGACAAAGAAGAGAGTACAATTGATGTTAATGGTCTGAATAGTCTTTCTGTAAATGCATTTTTGTACTGAATTTTCTCTCTATAGCACCACTGGCTTTCTGAGTATCAGAGATGCTGAGGTCATGGATCTGAAAAACACCACATTGGCAAGATGTTATGGAAATTTCTGATGTGAACTGTGCCTCAGATTGCTCAAATGGAGGAGTTCTGATCCTCCAAAGGAGATAACTCTGCCCAAGTAGGATTGCAGGAATTCAAAGAGCTGTGTAATGGAGCATTATTTGCTCTGATCTCTCTAGTTTTCAATTCAGGGCATTACAGATCATGTGAGTTGAAGTTAAAAATACAATAATAGAGAAAATTTCTTGGCTGAAAGTTATCTTTTTGTTCTGGGCAATTATTCTTAGTCTTGGGCATGAAGAATAAAACTTCTCCTGGTTCAGAAGAAGCCACTTCTCCATCTCTGGCAGCACGAGTGTGCTAAGCTAGAGAGTGTCTCTGCTGGAGCACAAAGAGGGCAAGTGACAAAGAGAAACACTGGCTTGTCACCAGAAATTCCTGAACTCGAGTGCAGTGAGACATGGAAGGGGCTGAGCTCTGCCTGCCACAGGAACCAAGGACAGCAGAATCCACTGGGCACATCTTTCGTGTTGCTGCCAGCTGAGCATGGGCAACCCCGAAGCAGTTTTATTGCCACCACAATACTGCAACGAAAATCCCTCTTCATCCTCTCTATAAACCCTCTCAGCACAACCAAAGGCAACAGGGTTGTGTGGCAACACTGCTCTGTGCCACACAAGGGAATTCTGAGCTGCTTCCCTGGAGTTAACAACTCGTCTGCGCTATCAAAGATATGGATAAACCCTCTTCCATGGGAGGTCAGGATCTGGCCCATACTATGGATCAGGATCACACAGGCACAGAGTATTTTTGGCTGAAACTCAACAAGTTTGAATTAAGCTAAAAACCCCTCAAATAACTGATAACAAACAGGTTTTTTGGGTTTTTTACGTACAATTTCTTCTTTATTTTTTAGAAGTGTAAAGATTTCCTGACA